GAAGACAAAACGTACTTACTCTTCACCACCGGCAGCCTTACATACTCCCCTCACCAGATAGGTAACAAAGTTATTCAGCAACGCTGCGATATTTTCTCAAAATTGTGCCGGCCCTCTCTCACCTGGAAGCTCCTTTTTCACTTTCCAGGCATTAAGCGAATCAGGCCTGAACAGATGACCACTTCGGGTCCTGTTCTCGGCGAAGAGCGAAGTTCAGACGAGTTTTTTGATTCCCTGGATCATGTTATTGATATCCACGGTCACATCATTGGCATGGGCCTTTCTCCAGACCACAGGTAATCAAATGAGAAACATTTGAGCTTATTTGATCCTGTATCAGCTTTTTAGTTTAACATCACTTCTCCTCTGTCATTGGTCAGATACCTGTATGTTAATAGCCGGGCTTGGCCAGCTGGATGTGTGATCTCAGACCCCATGTCTCCGCCCCCCATCGCTGAGGAGATCGACCTGCACGTGATTGACCTGAAGAGTTTGAGAGAGGAGAGAAGAAGCCTGCGCGCTCATCGAGCTTTCACACCCAACGATGAGTGCTTCTTCATCTTCCTGGACGTCAGCAGAGACTTTGTTGCCAGGTGTGTTTGTTATTTTATTCCTCAGACACAGAAGCTTTTCAAACTTGAGCCACTCTCCACTGCGCAACAGAAAAGGAAGCGATACTGCAGTGTTGGGTAAACATGCTCACCGTTTCACTGCTCAGGATGTAAGAAATTCCCTTTTTTCGTTTTGGCACAGTGCGTCGCAGTGTGTCAGTTGTACATGACGTTCTTTCTAGTAACAGGGGTGTGTCAGAATTTAAAACAGTAATCAGACAGCTCGTTTGAATGAAGACGCTGCTTTCGGATGTTGAGGTTTACACTCAGGACGTGTCAGTCGTGAGTTTGAGCAAAAAGAAAATAATGAAGCAGAAACAAAATCTTCCCTCGAAACCGAGAAGAATCTGTTCAGTGTGATGGGTGCTGTCATGAAGAGACTTTCCACTTACTGTCCATATTATTCCCCCACTACTTATATAAAAACAAATATTTCCCATGGCATGTGAAGATTTTTGTTGAGAGTGACAAGGATAGAGGGACAGCTCGGATTGAGCTGGTTTGGATATGTACAGAGGAGAGATGGTGGGCATAACGGACAGTAGATGTTGAAGAGTTGCCAGGCAGGAGGAAAAGAGGTAGACCAAAGGTTCATAGATGCAGTGAAGTGACACCCATTATCACTATAAGACAAAATGTAGATCCACAGCCGATATATCAGCAAGTTTGATTTGCTTCAGATTTCTCACCAGATAGAAACCCACAACTGAGACTCGGTTGGTGTCTCCTCCTAGTCCCAAACTGGTGATCTTTTGCATTTTAGGGAAATACGATACCGCATACTGTACCATACTACACGATACTATAGTAGGTTTATTTGAAAAGCACTTGAAACCAACCACATGGACCAAAGTGGTGTACAGAAGAATAAATGAAAGACAAAAAAAGCCTAGTAGATAAACACAAATGAAATAAATGAAATAAAATGTGTTCATAGATAAATATTAATAATCATATGCTGTTGTTTTAAGGGGTTTGTGGGCTGTGATTGTATGTTTATGTCTGAATAACTCAAATTCTGAACTCTGTGGTTTAATAGAAATATGTATAACACAGTTTTGTTAAACTCACTATTCACGATTTATTTGATTGAAACATTGATGAGGTAAAAGCGCTGCGTAACCACACACAGCTCCAGCTTCACAGGGGACTACCTTGATCTATTTCAAAGTAAAGTAAACGTATTCATGTGTTTGTCAGTTTTAATTGATATTCACTGCAAATGTTTACACACTAAATCAAACGCTCGGTAACCGCTCTGACTTACCCTCCAATCTCCCACCTGTAGTGGAGCCGAGGACAAGCACGGCTACATCTGGGACCGTCACTACAACATCTGTCTGGCGCGTCTGGCACACGACGATGTGGTGAACTCGGTGGCGTTCAGCCCCGCCGACCAGGAGCTGCTGCTGTCCGCCAGCGACGACTCCACCATCAAGGTGTGGCGTTCGCCGCGAATGATCCGCCTCGCGCAGGCCTCCGCCCGGCCGCCCAGACCACGCAGCCTCCTGCCGTCCTGGCTGAGCCGCAGCAAGAACTCCTGCATCAACGGAAAACCATGAGTCAGGCTGGAAAACACTTGAAGCGGGAGGGGGAAGCATGGTGAGGAAAGTCTGATCTTTTCCCTTTGTGGTATGAATATATACACACTCCATGTATGTGTACAGCGTGGGCACAGTCTGTTGTTTTCGCTTGAGCTCACGGTGTCGTGACCTAAAGCAGTGACTGATTCAGCTGACAGGAAAGGATAGCGGCTCAGACACAAGGGGGCGCTGTTGTGCCAGCAGAACTGACTGCAGACAGAAATGATACGCAACGTTAACACAGGTAGAGATGTAGAGAGTGTAGAGCTGACGCCTAAACACAGATGCCCAAAAACTGCTCCCCTGAAAGATGGTTGTTCTCCTTTTTTTTTTTTTTTTTTCTTTAAAAAAAAAAAAATCAGTAAAGTTGCGTCCGAACAGTTTGGACTCCTGGATGTGACGTACACATGTATACAAAGGTCCTGCTCCTTTAGGGCAAAGTGCAACTGAGAATAAGCTGAGAAATGTTCGTTTTCCTATCAGCGGCTGTATCCAATTGACGTCTCGAGTTAAAAGTTCCTCATAAACGCTTTTCTCAAAGATTTTATAAAAGAGTATAAAACGAAAAGGGAAAAGGAGTTTGAGCTGCATTTAATGCGGTCTGCTTTTTTTGTTTGTTTGTTTGTTTGTTTGTTTGTTTTTTGTCTGTGCCCGGGAAATGATTCATCACTATTCTATTAAATGTAGAATTACTGAGCAGTTTAATATAAGAGGAACCGCTGGCTGTGAAGAAGAGTTGTTTGTGTAGCTGAGTGTTTATTGGATCTGTATAATATAAAAATGTATTTAAACCCTTTTCATTCATTAGCATCACAACGCTGCACCCTTTATTTTGCAGAATTTTGTTAATTCATTTTGCTTTTCTTATTTAGCAACATATTGTGTCCCCCCTCTGGAGAAAGAAACTTTACAAGTAGAGCCTTTTTAGGCAATTACCTAAATCGGGGATGTCAAATTCATTTTATGCTGTGGGCCACTTTGATCTGAAGAGAACCAGACCAGTAAAAACATTTAAGTAAACCTTTAATCCCTGACATTCAACACTACATGATCGTTTTTCTACATGATAAATGTGTAAAATTGCAGAAAAAGTGGTAGCACGTTGCCCAGACTGTCCTGTATTTGTAAAACGTAAAGGTTTTGTTAATTACTCTTTTGTTAAACTGTGGACCCATGTTTTTTTTGTTTTTTGTTTTTTTTGGTTGATAGTGTAAAAACAGGAATCTGTTACTTAACTGCTTTGGTGTGGTATGAATGGGGGAGGTCTGTGTGAGTCAAAAAAGCTGCAAAACTTATGAAAATACAGTAAAAATTTCCAAATCTATGCAATCTTTTCCAAAGCCGTCCATTGAAGTCTTTGCCGGGCCCATTATGGTCCTCAGGCCTTATGTTTGACACCCCGACCTCGAGCTCCAATTGGTCCTGTGGATTTTAAATGAAAGCCGCCATTCTCCAGTTTGTCCACAGACTGCTGAACAGTGCTGTAGTGTATAAATAACTAATGTATCTCCTTAAGGATTAGAAGGCAGTGTTAATCTTTATTTTAATGTGGCGCACATGTAACTTTTAATATCACTCTTTTTTTTTTTTAAACAATATGCTGTAATAAAGATATTCAGTGGATTTCATGTTGTAACTTACGTTGCGTACCAGTGCCACAGACTTTTACCCAAAGCAAAGCAATAATGAGTTTCATGGACCTTTCAGGTTGCACAAGTGGCGCCTATTACTTGAAATTAAATTCAGTTTAGAAATGCTTAAAAATATTTTGACTAATTTTATTAGTCTTTTTTTGGTAAGTTGACAAGAAACAACAGATTAAAAACACTTCGACAGAAACAGACAGAAAGTATAAAGGACTGAAGACAAATTGTGTTGAAATGTCTGTTGGTATTTACATCATACTTTAAGTCCCCTTTGAGGTGCTTTTGCTGGTAAACACAAAGCAAAACAAAAAGTAACGCATGGTTACAGCTACAGTTCAACCAGCACAAAGGTACTTTACTGGCTTCTTATTTACATTTCCACGCAGATGCCTGTTTAAAGAGGACGTGACTGATTTTAAAACATGGCTTTAATTATGATTGGGCGACTGTTTCACTTGTTGACTTTTCAGAATCCCCTGTGAATCCGACACTTGAACAAGCAGGTTTCATTCAACTGAACAGTGTTTTGTTTTTTTTCCCCATGTTTTTAAATTTGTTTAAAAAGTCACAAACTTTCTCCTTTTTTTTCCCCCCGAGCTCCCCTTTCACTTCCTCCTCATCACACTGTCATGTTTTGCCAATGTTTGCTTCCTTATGATCATTTTTTTTCCAGCTTGTGTTCTTTTCAAAACCTCCACCTTAATAAAGCGCATGCCCTGCAAATCCAGAAAACTGAACATGTGTCAGACTGATATTCTTTTCTGCCAATAAAATGTTGCTTTCTTGTGCAGTTTTTCATTAAAGGTTTTGAAAAGAGAGCTCAATGCATGCTTAGCCTTATTGTTATTGCCTGTTTGCAAGTATTTGTCAGTTAATGAAGTTTAGAAATCGACCCTGAGCGCTCTATTGGTGCAGTTTGAGTTTTCTCCAGTATCAGAGTCAAATCTAAAAATAGACACATACTACACAGGCATATTTTTAGCTTCTGTGTGAATTAAATTTTCCATCAAAATGTCAATGCCGCTTACTAATAGTAAAAAAAAAAAAAAAAGTACATCCCTGGTAACTGTTGTCTCTGTTTTTGACATATTTGGACATTTTATTTTTGATAAAGATGATATATGTGAACCATACAGCAGGGAAATTGAGTTGTTTTTTGTTTTTGTTTTTTTAAAGTAATTCATTAAATAATTTTATCCTGTGCATCTGAACTTGTATTGCCCACTTTTTCAGACAGCACTGGGCTTCTTGCACATTACCTACAGGAGCTGCGTCATGCCCTGAAGCTCCCGGCGCACAACTCTTCTGCTGATGCCGCAGGAGGTTTGGAGCTCTGCAGTTAGTGAGTCAGCAGAGAGTTGGTGACTTTTCTGTGATTTTTGCACCTCAGTCCTCAGCAGACCCGTGCTCTTTGACTTTGCGTGGTCTGCCACTTCATGGTTGAGTTGCTGTGGTTCCTAAATGCTTCCACTTTTCAGTAACACGACTAATAGTCAATTGCAGAGTATCTAGGAGGGGAGAAATTGCACCGACTTGTTGCCTTAGAGCATCACCCTTGAATTCAGTATGATCTTTAGAAAGACTCATTCATTTTTGACAGATGTTTGTAAAGGCAGACTGATCAGCTGGGTTTTTGATTTTCTTTATCTGAGGTGATGGGACTGAAAAGAGCAGAATTAAAATAGCACAGTCTTTAAATATTTCATCACCTATCTATAATATCATCAAAAAACTGGAGAAATCTTTTATGCATAAAGGGTCCTGCATGATTTGGAGCAACACCAGTTTTTACACAACTAGGATCCTACGTATATCAGACAAGAACCAGAAAGAGCCCAGTAGCTGGTCTGCTCGCTTCCAGATGTTGACAGAAGAGGGGATGTTGTTGCCATCAAATTCAAAATGAGCTCATGTTTTTCATGCAACAATAAAATGTCTGTTTAAACATTTAATATTTTTTATGCTCTATGATGAATTTAAAAAAATGAGTTCATGAGATTTACAAAGTCACCGCATTCTGTATTTATTTAAATTTCACACAGTGTTGCAGATTTTTTTAGAATTCGGTATATTTAGATATTTGACAGCAAAGTGTCGCAACTTTACTTTAGACTACATCTCTAAAACATTTAAACTAGAACAGTTTCTAGTTCCGTGGATTTGTGATAAGTAAGGGGCTTTACTTTTGTACGGTTTCAGTTTTGTGTCATTTGTTTAGCACTCACTCTTGGTCACCATCTAAGAAATGATACACAATAACTCTGGGATATGGGTGAGAACAGAAGCATCAACCAAAGTGTATCAGTTATAGCTGTGTGTAGGTTAGTGGATCAACAGTTACTGGCAATAACTAATTTCAGTTATAAGGGGGCTCGAAAAAAATAAAAATAGGTCAAAAACATGGCACAGCTGCACTTGTTGTGATATCATCTGGTGACCTCACAGCCTCTGACTTTGAAGATTAGATTAGAAAGTGCGTCACCATCTAAATACTTGAGAATCTAACCCAGGGGCTTTCAGAAGAAAGATTTTCATTCCTCACGTAGTCATCGATCACACGTGCGCCGTCCCTCTGGCAGGTTCTTTCCAACCACATTTATCTCAACCATGATGAGGCATTTCCACAGCCTCAGTGAAGACCATCACATGCATGTATAATGAGTCATTTTGTGGTCTTCTATCATACTAGTGGGGTTTCATTTTTGGTGAACATGCTTTGTGTGGTGAAGCTGATGTGACTGACATGAAACCTAAAAAGTGGCTGAAACATGGTTTAAATGGACTGGTTAAAGTAAAGGGGTTGCAGTTCTGGTTTTATTTGTAATTCAGCACACTGACATGCTACACATTAACACAGTCAACATTTTCAGTTTTCACCAATGTTAGCCTGAGGTACAAAGGCATTGCTGAGGCTGCTGGGAAGCAGAGTGGTCTTAAATTTCATAATCCAAGTGAAACATTTCACTCGTTCTTAGGAATTTGTTCAGTGAGCTCAGTACCTTCAGATCTACAAGGTCTGAGTGGAAGAGGTTGTTATTAAACTGTCATACACTTACATTGGAAACTCTTTGGACCTCTATTAGAGCCTCACAGAAGTCAAAGGTGCAACAACAGGACAGCTGTGCACACTGCTTCTGCTGATTTGGGCATTCACCAAAGCAGGCTTTGTGTTTCTTTGCAAGGCAGGAAGGCCGGCATATGTTTTGCTAAACAGGCTACTTAAACTTGGTTTTATGTTCACACTCTGCTCTAAAACGAATAAAAGTTCACACATTTCCCATCATTTAAAGCGCCTCCTTGACGACAGAATGGGCTAACGAGCACTTTGGATATCAAACCTTTTATATGTGAAATAGTTGGAGTTCCCCTAGAACAACGTGAAGCAAGGAAAAACAGGTACACCACATCTATATTCACAACAAACACAGCTCAACAAACACAGCTATGTTTCTTTGCTTTCGACACTGCAGCGTGGTGCTTGGGTTTTTTTTCTTCTCTTTAGCGCCCTTGCTAGTTTGCATCATCCGTTTGTTTTAGGAGAAGGCATCAGAGTTTTACATAAAAGGAATCACCTGTAGTGTTATTCCTGTGTGTGTGTGTGTGTGTGGGGGGGGATTTTCACATTCACACGTGGTTATTTTAGAAAAAAAAAAGACAAATATAAGAAAACATGTGGTTAAAAAAAACCCCTTTTTTTTGTTTACAAGATATTTTTGACTTAAATTATTTGTGGTGCTTACACCCTTGTGCCTACATTTCATGTTGCTACATCCAACAATTATTCATTTTTAATAATGAATTAATCCTGTTTAGGTATAAACAGGATTAAAAAACAAGTCATAAAGAAGAAGACAAAAATAAAACAAGGAAATAGTATTGTTATGCTTTAAAATGAACTTTTAATTAAAATCAAATAGAATTTTGTGAAATTTTATCTTAAATGACACACACAAAAAATGGTTAAATTAATAATGTACCTATGGTCAAATGGTACTTTAGCATCCCTTAAAACACTTTATAAATAATCACCAGTCATCAGAGTCGTGAAAGATTCAAAACTAACTTTATATGATTGAGTACAGTATGAGTACAACTGATCAGGCATTATAGTTAGCAGTAGCACTGACATAATACAATAAATGTGTCTACATATATATTTATTTATATATTTGCTACTCTGTAACAGTAGATGCTTCAGGATTATTTAGTAATACAGTATTAAGGGATTATTTGAAACAGGCTACATATTTTATCATCGTTTTATCCCCTTTAGATTCATTTAAAATTTGATATAAAATGTTTACCAGATCGAGCCGTTTAAGTGACAAGTGCACGCACCACGACCTCATCAACACGAGAGCTTTTATAATCTAGTATTTTTGATTCCTTTCCATCAGTGCTTGTTTGGTTGTCATTGGTCGTTGTTTTCCTATACTGCATGAGAGCTAACACAGGCTAAAACTAAACACATCTCCCATTTGTTTAAGTATGTGCCTGTAAAAACTAAAACATTTTATTAGAACTAGTTAACTTTAATTATCTCGAGCCATAAATAAATAGTAACTGGAGATAATCTCACAGTGGTGGGAAAAACAAAACACACACATACACACTCCCACAAAGCTAAATAAGGTGTATTATATCTATTATGATATTAGGCTGCTTATAATATAAGAGATAAATTATCGTCTACAAGATGCAATACAGATATAAGGAGGGTAACATCAGGATAACAGATGACTTCAGACCCTTTTTTCCTCAGAGAGCTTTTCTCAGCTCTCACCGCTGATTCACTGATTCACTGCAGATGGATCCTCGGAATGAGTGCAGATGTCACATCGCACGCCCTCAAGGTGTAATGACATCCTAATGATGCTTTTAATGTGATAATATATAAATATAGTAACCTATATGATAATAACATTGTATTTTTGTCATATATATATATTATTATTATTATTATTATTACTGTTATTATTAATATTACTATTAAAATGATTCATTATTTGGTTTAGATTTTTGTTTCTGTGTTTTTGTATTTTAAAAAAACAAAACAAAGCAAAACAAAACAAAGAGTTTTTTGGTGTTACTTCCACAGTACACCCTTATAAGCCTGTCAGGTCTACAATGGCTTTAATGAAAATTGTATCATCTCTGAGGTAAGGGCTCTTTCCGGCCAGTTTGGCCAGCGGGCAGAAGAGTGGGCAGCCGCTGGCGATGTTCATCTCACTGATCGGCCGCTGGAAGGACGAGGAGCTGACGTCTGGTCGGAAAGCATCGATGATGTGCTCCCTGTTGTTCTGATCCAAGAGCATCAGAGTCACCTGGCGGGGAAGAAGAAGAGAAGAAGAGTTGGTTTCGTGCCGCTCATCGAGAGTTTCGTGCGTAAACGTATTAAAATGGTTCCCCACCTTCTGACTGAACGGCCACTTGAGCAGGGCGTCGCACTTTCCCCTCATGACGACGAAAAACAGAGAAAGGTGCGTTCCCCGGCCCGTCCCGTCACCATTCAAATACAACCGTAGACACATTTTGTAGCCATATTTGCTGGAGTAAAAAGCTGCGTGGAAAAAACAAAAAAAAAGAAGGGTCAGAAATGGAAACGGAGCCTAAAACAGCATCATGTGAAATCAGCAGAGCCATGCACGCTCCCTGAAGAACAACAAGGGTGTAGCGGCGTGGAATTCCCCTCCGTCTACACGCCAGAAGATAATGTCATGTGAACTGTATGACCTCAAAACAAAACAGAAAAATCCCTCTCACCTAAAAGCATACCACACGTGATGTTTTTCCATCCTACCTGGTGAGAACATTGCAGGCGCTCGACCAGCCACGGCATCCTGCCTTCGGCGCGAGAAGTCGGAGATTTTCCAGACGAATACTCCGTCGTAGGTGCAGAACTGGAGTTCGCGCACCAGCTGTTCGGTCTCAGACAGCTGCAAGTCTCTCATGGTCAGCGTCCTCTCCAGCTGTCGGACTTTGTTAGACAGATTTTCAATCTTCTCTTGGTCTAAGCGGTGTTGGTGTGCGAATGCTTCCATTGTAACAGAACTGCGCTCCACCTCCCGGTTCAGGACGCACACGATGTTTTCTAAAGCGTTCACCTGTTGGTGAAAGAAAAAAAAAAGAAGAAGCAACAAATGATTATTTTCTCATTTCACCAAATGAGCAGAGTGGTTACAAGCGACATCAAACCTGCTGAGACTCACTTTTTTTTCCAGGTCAACAGACTGCACCGAGGTCATGGGCCCGGCTCCCTCATTAGGATCCCTGTACAGGCCCACTCCGGAGTCCTCCTGCCACTCCCCGGCACCAGAGCCCTCTGAGCGAGCCCGAGTTGCTGACAGCACCAGAGGCAGCAGCAGACGCAAGTGCTCCATAGTACTGTTGACCTCGTGGTCACAGAGCTTCCCGTTCTCTACCTGACACAGAAACATGGGAGAGCTCGTCTAAGTTTTATTGAGACAAAGGTCAAACCAGTTAGTTTTGAGCTGTGGTGTCCAGTTTGTGCCTTCAGTAGGACAAATTTAGCTCTAGGTGTGGTGACTACCAAACTAGTGGCTCCAGCAGTTCCCAGGAACAACATCGGAGATCTCTGTCCACAGAGTGCAGTCCTAGGAACAGTTAAGATACTGCACAGGACCCTCAAGCTCCCAGGCCTCTGGTAGAGGACCCAAGCTTGAAGGATAGACCGGATAGTGGGGGCGAGCGGGGAATGTTTTATATATTTTTAAACAGGTTTCACTTTTGAGTATTTACATGCAGCTTCTTTTGTTCTGTTGGCTCAATGAAAGTAAACCCAATTTAGATAACGCTTAAAATAGCTCCAAGTATGTGTCTGGAGGCCTTTTAAGATGCCTGCTGAGTAGTGCTGATTGCTTCTAGAAGAACTGAAGAAACAGCCTTATCTAACCTTTTAGACGGCTTCCTGGCAGCATGAGCAAACACCTCCTTAACTGCCACGATAGTTTGATTCAAAGGTGCCTAAGCTCTCATTGGTGCTTGGGTATAATATCATATCACATCACATTTGCCAAACTGAGCTCAGCCAACTTTAAACTACTGACGAAAGCACAGAGCGCGAAATATCTCATGTGAAAGGGTCACGTGACTAACCTCAGGGAACACATTAGGAAGAAGGAGATGAGAAAATGCATTTAATAGCATTAAGTCTCCTCTGCAATGACACCAATTTATCCAATGACCCCCGCCGAAATCTTTTCTGTGTGCAACATATTCTAGCTTTCACGAGATAACTCACATCTATCTGTGCTCCAAATACAAAGCAGCTGGTGGGAGATGATTAGCCTTGTTTAGTTGGAAACTCCCTGGCTCTTTTGGAAGTTAAACCTCTAACAGTGGTTTTAGACTTCTGTGTTAAATCTACGCTCCTGAAACCCTATAATCAGTATAACTACACAGTCTGCACAGGTATAAATACTGGAAACAGCGTGTGCTGCTTACGTAGGCTACATCATACGCTCTACACAGATTCACGGCATACATCAGGCACAAAGCAGCCACTCATATCTTATGTTGATGTAAAACAGAACAGTAAAAACACCAAACAGTGATGCTGTGACTTTAGCCAGGCCAGCTCCTTCATCTGATTTCAACTTCATAATTTACTTACAACAGGAAAAGTATAAGCCACATTACTACCTTACTGTACAGGACATACATTTAGACTCCTTATTAAACCACAAATAAGCATCGAAATACTACAACGCAATGAGAAAAATGAGTTCGATCACACTGGTCAACCCTCTACGATAAAACATAAGACAGGAGTTTTGGTGATTATGTAACTGCACCTACCATAGACTTGCAGCCCACTTCACTGAATGGACACGTGCTCTTTGACTTGGCGCAAGACTTCACATGATCATTGAACTGAAATGCAGAATGAACAAAGAGAAAAGACCATTTATAAACAGTGCATCAACAGGAAAGTGGAAGTGAAGGACTCCTAGTCAAAAAGAAACTAAGTATCATAAGGAGACTGCCCTAAACCACTTAGATTACATTGAAGGTAACGACGCTAACCTTTTCTCTTGGTATCTTCTTTTTTCCACAGTCCTTGCATTGCATGGGAAACTTCAGACAGATCTCATCATGGGCCTGAAATGCATCGTATAGCAGAACGTCACTTTGTGTCCATTAATGCCAACAAAGAAGAAGAAAAACAAAAAACAGTGTATTTTAGTGTAGCCTCTTTATGTCCCACCTTTATCTCTTTGAAGTTGAAGGTCATTTTGCAGTACTTGCAGTTGAGAGTTCTTGCCTCGCATTCTCTCTCATTGTGTCGGTCCTTCTCCGTGAGAAGGATAAGGGTTTGGCAGCCCTCGCACAGTATCCGCTCGAATTCACAGCGACCTTCGTGCTGAGCCTGAAAATAACAGACATTTTTTATTTGTTATTATTTTCGAACTGCCTGTTTGTTACTTGTAAAGCAGGTTTTCAGCATTGTGAAAGAGCAAACTGACAGTTGGGTCAAACCCTTCCCAATCACTGATAAATAACCGCTTTTCAGGAAGTGTTCAGTAAGGATACAGGGTGTATCCTTAGCTTCTATGTGGAAAAACAAGTGTTTTTTGTTTTGTTCTTTAAAAAAAAAAAAAACACCTCCAACTGACAAAAAAAAGTGAAAGTAAAAGCACAATACACTGATTTGAGTATGAAAGAGATAACTACGGTTCTATGATTGCGCACACGATTGTGATCAAGATTATTTTGATATTTACTTGTTTTTCATTGCAACCCCCATTAAAATATGCACTTTTCTTACTTTCGAATGACATGCTAAGCAAACGAAATTTAAACAAAAAACGAGCTCCACAAACATCTGATAGAAAAAAAAAGGGATGAAAATGTACCATAGAAGTAGAATTATAATGAAGAGAAGTACAAAAATAAAAAAGGGGAAGTAGAATAATTAAAGAAATATATTTAAAGCTGTGTATTCGCCATTTAAAAATACCGGGAATCACGCAGGCGGGGTGGAGCTTAAGGTGGGGTTAATCAACAGGGAAGTTGCAGTCTTTCAGAATGACTACCAAAGGCACGCTGCAGACCCAGAAGCAGAAGCTCAGGTACGTTAGCCGGTTTTTCGCTTTGACTGCTGACTTTCCAGACTTGCTACGCTCAAAAATCTTGAACCGGATCGCGTCAATAAAAATGACTCACATTTAAAAGATTCCTAATCTCATCCCTGTCCTCGGCACAACACTCCAACGCCTTGATGTGACTATTTTTTCCCCAGCTTCAGAAGGTCTCGCTATGGGTGTGTGCGGCTAGCAATTTGTAGCTTTTCCCACACAGTGACAGTGACTAAGATACCAGGCCAAAAATATATGCAAAGTGGGTGTATCACACAGCATAATAGTTTGCGAAGCAACAATAAGAGGTTGGCATGTTTTGATCTTTTGGTGTCTTCTTTTTTATTGTTTTTTTAATAAGAGGAAGATTCATCTGCGTGCTAGTGCTTGGGATTCCATTTCCAATCCGTGCAAATCCCACACATTCGCCTAGCGTTTTCATTTAAACAGCATATCATTTTAACATTTCCCAGGTGAAAAACACACACGCGCACATACATGCACACTCACAAAGTGATGTAGATTAGGTCACACTGGTACGCTTAGTTAAAACCACAAACAGACAAGAATTGTTGTAAACATCCTTTTCACAGTGTAAGCATCATGGTGCCATCTGCTTACTACACAAACTACGTAGCTCATCTAAAACTGATGCTTACAGTAGAAACACAGCTGCAGACAGACACACACACACAAGGCTCAGTCGCACACACACTAACCAGCTTTATTTACTTCATGTGTCTTTCATGCATTTTTACAAACTCCAGTCTGTGTTCGATGAAATCTGGGTTTCTGCTAAACTGAATGAATACAAGCAGTTTCCTTAACAGCTCTATAGTTTAATGGTCAGTAACCCAGTCACGCTAAGCTCAACAGGGTTGTTCCATTCTGGTACTTTCCACTGAGCTTTTGTTGATAAATGAGGAGAGGCTGGGACTTTCCAGCCGCCTGTTAAGTTTCACTTCCTGTTTGCAGCAACGCAGCACATAGTACAGAGTGTGCTATGAAAGCTGAGGTTTTTTCAGGGAACACAGTGACCCGGGAACGCAGATTATAGGTCAGATTACCCTCTCACGTAGATTAATAAATACTGACAAGGCTCTTTTTTGGTAGTGTAAACCTTCACCCAGGTAAAAGGCAGCAATGCCCATGCCACAGGAAAAGACAGATTTCATACTTTACCTCATACTCTTTAATAGATCCAGTCCAGTTACAGCCCTGGTTCAAACACCTGGCTGGCAGGCTTGCTATTTCTCGGCCTGCTGCATTGTCTGGGAAAGCCTGTGAGGTGGGGGGGTGGGGGGGCAAAAACAAAGAGATCAGTGAACTCATAAAGCCTTCAATGCTCTTAAAAGAAAGCAGACAAGAGTAGGATGCATTGATGCATTGTGTGGTTAGGGAAACCCCCGCCAGATTGCAGTCATATTTTTTCCTCTAAAGGGCAGTAATCACATGCTGACTACTCCTAGCATAACAAAGACAGTGGGTTTGAAACCTGAATACATATAAAGGCTTACCTCACTGCTGTTTAGAATGGAAATGGGTTCCTCGTATATCTCCTCTTGACGGCAGGCTTCACATGGCTTTGGGCCAGAACTACCAAACAAGACAGGTTTGTGACTTTACTGTAAAAGCAGCGGCTCGACGCCAACAGTCAGCAACAATTTCCTGCTGATCCAAAACTGCAGCAACTGCTGACCAGTGTGGATTACAGCTCGAGCAGAGGAACGTTTAATCAATACAAGGGAAATGAAAAGAAGCTTGTAAGCATCATATCAGTGGGATAAGAAGAAAAAAAAGAACTAAAAACAAAAAAAGTTGCTTTAGCAAGTTTGAAGGCGATTAAATGAATAACCAAAACACACACACAAGCATAAACAAAGGGCACGTGTGGGTGCGACACATCACATGGTGAATTTATAACGTACATGATCTGGTTATTTTGAAACAAATAAAAGCACTCGGACAAATCACATGCGAAATCCACACATTTCACAATCACTTGTGTTACTGTTGTTTAAATGTTTGGGGAATTAACAAAGAGTCTGGCGGTTTAAAAAAAATGAAATGGTAAAATTCCACATTTTCTGTCACATTTTGTTTAATTATACTTTCATTAAACATTAGATAACACATAACTGAAACGGACATCAACTAGAAATGAATTAGTGTATCCATGTATGCATCTGTAACGAATACACATCACAAATACTCGTTACAAATACGTTGGTGTGACACCTCTTTGTACTTGTAGTGAATATTCATTACAAATCCAGCGTTTTTCCTCATGTATTAGTTTTTGTTAATATTCATTATGATTACTCTGTAATGAATTTGAATACATAAAGGCAATGAAAACACTGGATTGGGTATTCATTACAAATACACCTCATGTATTAACAATCCACCAGTGTGTGAATGACTCAGAAAGGAGGTTTTTAGAAAGAAGACCTTTAGAATGAATCAGCAACACCACATCCTTGTGATTCACAAACATCAGTATGACAGGTCCATCATGTGGGGCATGAGTCTGCATTAATAACTGATCTTGTCTGGACAAAACTCCCAGAGTTGAGGAAAGATGAGGAAAGGGTGTGCTGAAGCATGTCCAGTAAGACAGGAAACATTAGGTGCGGGGTAAGCAGTTTGGTCTAAGGACCTCCAGTCTACCTGGTGAGCTGCTTGAAGCAGTGTACACAGAAGCGGTGGCCGCACTGAGCCTGGACAGGCTTCCTCAGGACCTGGAGACATTGCTGACATTTATATTTATTTTCCATGGGCACTGACAGGACACTGAGGGGAATCCCTGGTAAAGAGTTGGGACAGTCCAAAGAAATACGGGCCATTCTTCTCCATCAATCTGGTGCTATATCCTGTTAATGAGAACACAGAGAAACAGCTGTCAACAACCAGGCAGGAACTAACTGCAAAGATGGAATATAAACTCAAACTAGCAGTGAATTACCCGCTGGCAAGCTTAACTATTTAAAAGATCACCATGAGAATCTGTGTGACCCTCGAGGAAATATTTGTCCACGCTACTGTGTAAGTCTCGGCACAGCCAGCAATGCCACACAAAAAAAGAAAAGCATGGTAATAATATTCAAAAATATGGAAAACCCTGCTTAACACTGCAACGGCTGAAACAAGATCAGCAAGTCAAATGACTTGAAGACATAGGTACTTTTTCTTTTTGAGTTATCAGAAAAAGTCTTGTGATTGGTGGGATAAACATAACTGTGAGAGAAGCAGCATCAGGATATACAACCTAATCTATTTAAACACGTATCTAAACCCGTTTAAAAAAAATCCCCTGCCAATTTTCTTTGTATGTCCAGCTTACAAAGAGCTGAGTAACTTTAAACTGTAGAACTTGGTTTTGTTGTACAGCATTTCCAGACAATAATCAGATAAGCATCTTTCTACTGAGAAATACTAGTGAAATATTTCTCACTTTAATGCGGTGTGAAATGCAAACACAGCATTTACACGAGCTTTGCTGATATCTTTTGTACTTCACAGAAACGATGATGATGATGCCAGGCATCAGACAGCATAGCACATGTATTTTGGGTCTTTCCTTTAAATACTTTTCCTGCAATGCTGTCAACATTTCTCACCCTCCACAAATAGTTTCTGTTACCTTTGTTTCAGTTTCAAGCTCGCTTTACAGCGTTAACACTAAAAGATCACTTAAGTCACGGTTTCTTACAGGAATGGCACTTATAGGGGTGCTGGCCACAGCTCCACCATGTGCTCAATTTGAGTAAGTTTAACTAAGTAATAGCGGGTACTGAAGGTACAGTGAAACACAGTGGCATAAATTAAAGGACGAGAAAGACGCAGACCCTTTTAAAAATCGTTTTAACATTAGCTACTTAAGTCAAAGTTACCATTAACCGTGTTAAAAGACTAAGACCCAATTACACTGCTGCCTGTTTTCCAATTACCCCAATTAGATGTTTGATGCTTCACCAGATTACACAATTTGTGTCTTGACTTTTTCAAACCATGTTGCTGGCATCAAATTCACAATCAGCTCAACTTTAAAACAAAACTAAATTCTGTTCAACATGTAATATCTTTGCATTTGAAAATATAATGTCCAGCAAAAATGTCCAATCAATATCTGGGCTTTACATGAATTCAATTTTTAAATGCATTAACTTGAAGCTCCTTTTCAAATATATATTCTACAAGTGGAAAAGGTTTGCCAGCACCCTCTCTCCACACACACACACACACACACACACACACACACACACACACACACACACACACACACACACACACACACACACACACACACTTTATATTATTTTATACCTGGTTAAATTAAGGCACCAAATTTAGGAAACCCTCATGGTCTTTGGTTAAAATACCTCCTTTAACTGTGTTCAGTATGTCTTAGAAATTATCAAGAGTTATATTCTGGCAATCAGAAGATGGTAAACATATTTTTTACATTTACATTTAAACAATATCTTCCCTCACTAATTCTAACTGTTTAAAATCATTCTTCCATTAAAGTACTTTATGGTAGGAAATCATTTTAGACTGAAAAGACCCACTGCATAAAGAACAGCACCAGGGCTTATTTTGTCTTTGCAAATATCCCTTCTGTCACAAATTTCTGTAAATGTTTATTCTGTATATAAATTCCCTTATGAAAAAATGTGTGGGGAATGTCTAGTGTTTGTTTTTCCCATAACCAGCAGATGACAACTCTTACTGATATATTTCCACACACCCACTGCATGTGTAAGTGGGTTTTACAGGTGTATAAATTATATATAATACACGCCTGCATGTCAAAGAAAACTGTAAGGAATGTGGACAAAGTGCACCTTTGCATGTCACAAACTTGAAAATATGGTTGGTTAAGGTTGTGGTGTTTGTAGGCTTAAGGTAATATGTGGCAAAAGCCACACAGCTTAACAGTGCTGTCTCACCATTCAACCATTCTTGTTCTTAAGTCAAAGCAGGTCCTAAGGTGAACAGAACAACACCCATAAAGTAAATGTTAATGTTTAACTAAATGTGAATGGTGTATGCAATTCCAACAAAACAGCTCAGCTTTTTCCCCACAAAGAAATAAAGTGGTAAATTCCAAATTGTGTCTACAAAACAGCACCACTCCTGATGGTCACGAGTTTTCAATGAACTTTCTGCAGACGTGGTCTCCAAGCAGAACATATCTGAATCGTGTTTTCAGTGGATTTTTCCTTAGACCAATTTAGATCCTTTTCAAACAAAGCAACTAACTTTCATGGGGGGAAGTAAGACCACACAGAAAGTGGATGTTGAATCAAAAGATAGATGCAAGGAAAACCCCTATGTTTTAATTTCAGTGGGAGTATTAACACTGAAACTGGAAATAGTTAATCCAACTCCAATACATCACTCAATAAATAAATAAACATAATATATGTAAATCCAAATACCCATAGCTAAAAAAAAATAAGAAGCTTTGTGTCCTTCCTACAAACTCATCTACAAGAATTTAAGTTACAAACTTTTAAGATTTTTTTTAGATGAATCACATTACAGCCAAGATCAGCTTACTGTCTAAAGATCCAGCTTTTAGAGTTTCATTTCATTTTTATTTATAACTGTGCTTCACATAAATTTAACCTCTTAACTGTTACTTAAATCTTAGAAATTTCTAACAAAATGAAATACTTTGGCATCTTGTTTGTATATGTTTGTTTTAAATCTAGATTTCTGTTGAACCTTTATTTTTAGAGTTTTACTTATCTCACCCTGAATTAGAACATATAGTAATATATGATTTGAATACACTGTTAATAATTTCATATTAAGGCAGGAAACGCTGCTTTTCTTTGGAAGCTCTTTCTTCCCGCGAGTATTTATTTGAACGCAATTCAATTCTGCCACTCACCCCATTCACATTAAATCATGAGTAACTTTTCTGTTACTGGTATTGCGTAAGAAGTTCAAGCCTAACTTAATTCTTACAAAACTTAACTGAAAAGCTGCGGCAACCTGCTGTGAGCGAAAAGACGTGTAAGCTCGTGTTTGGATAATGTTGTAATTACAACATCAATTCAGCGCGATCACTGGATCGCGTGGAAACTAGTCATAATTGTCAGAGAAACACACAATGAAACACTGTGCATTGAAATATCAGAAACAAGAATTTAAGTTATATAAAGGTAACACACACGAGGCCTACGTACAGCTAAACCTTGAAAAGTGACCTTTGTCATGTACAGCAGCATAAACTTTTCTGTGAAACGAACAACACAGCCAGCAACAACGAAATAAAGCAACAACAACAACAACAACAAAAAGAATACAACATTTCAGTCTAAACATTTCAACTTCTGTCTCAGACAAATAACCACAGCTGCTCTTTAAAGCTACACCCAGCGTTGCTCAAAGCCTAAAAAACATCCTCTTCCTGGGGAGACTCGTCCTCTCAGCTCGCCATGTTATTGCCCTGCGTGTTAACGCTGAACTTCTGCGAGTTCAGTGTGAAAATGCAGGGTGCTTCAGACCCTTTCTCATACAAAAGCCCAAACCTGAATGTTTACTCACCGAGTTCGCAAAGACTGTCAGTGGATCTTACAGTCGTCACCACCACGGACACTATTTCACCTCGTAACTTAGCTACACCCTTAACACGTAAGCATTGGAAACTACGGTATATAAACCCGGCCAGCGCGTTCAGTAGCAGAGAGCTTACAGAGAGCTTAGCCACTGTGATGTAGGCTGTTTTGCATCTATTTTACTAGATTAGCTCCTGTAATATTTTAAATATTATTTTAGAGTTTGGGCTATTGCTTTTATTAAGCAATTGTGTACTTTGGCACGTAAAAAACACTTTAATTATTTTAATGAGCACCTGCGAACTTCAAACAGCTAACATTAAAGTGTGTTTGCTTTTACGACTTATACGTTTACCTACTCAGACAGCTAATTGCTAGTGAGTTATAGGAAGGGATTCACAGCATGCAAACTGACTAACCTTGGAGTCTGGCCTGTGTTTCTCAACGAGGGGAAAACGCAACTCAACTTAGAACTCGCTCTTTATCATAATTCACGGACGGGTGTGTCACTAAGTGCACTTAGTTTTAAGCTGCTGTTAGCGAGGGCGCAGTAACGGCTGGGTTTTTATATGAAAGCCCAAAGCCACCCCTCTCAACGTAGTTTGGGCTGCTCCGAAGCCGAAAACAAGTGCTCCACTCACGCATGCGTACAACCGCAAAAGAATGTGGCCGCTGATACCCTTCCGATGGATCAACCGGCGGCGACACTGTTTTACAGTTTCTAAAGGTACGAGTTTAAGCAGGTGTCCTCTGTGTTACAGCTTAGTGTTCTTAAAAATAAACCTGGTGGTAAGTTGATAAAGGAAAGAAGTAGTGTGGGAGCCTTGCTGTCAGCATACACCAGGCACAGGGCTACGCGTTACTTAGCAGTATGTCAACCAACTGTTAGCTTAACGTCAGGGAAATGTTCATCATTGTTTACCGAATCACTCTTAAAGAAAACGTTGTAGCAGGCGAACAACACATACACTACACTGGGATGATCTTTTGACACGTCATCAAACAGTGCTGAATGTCAGTGATTTATAATTCATATAAATCAAAGTGTTCTCCAGCTTTGTGTCCCATGTGTTTATGGAGCTATCTATGCTCTTGTAGCTCATGCAGATCATTCATGGCGTGTACAGACTCAAAATGTGATGTAAATTAAGCACACGTTTCTGCCAAAACACATACACAAGACAGGACTGTGGCTTTCTTCTCTCAGAAGGAGCCAACATTGTTGTCATTATTGTTTTGTGTTTTAGTTTTTTGATTTTTATCACTTACGTCAATCAGTTTTTCACTTTAAGTTCAGGTAGGTTTTGCTTGAAAATACTTAATTTTACAGGTTTCAGTGTTACTTTTAGTCCCTATAATCTTTGTTACATTGAGGCCACACATTAGAGGAAAGCTTTAGGAAAATCAGTGCAGGTATTACAATAAAAACTCGTCTGATGGCTGAAACACAACCCCCATCATATCATATGTGGTTGCAGTTAGAATTTGGGAACTCTAACTAATGGAACATATCTCGAAAAGACTTGTTTATTAGGAGACGGAGACCTATTTTTGCATTATTTGAACAATGAAGGGAGAGAAACACATTAGCTTCATCTATCTATTTATAATTTTCATTTTTAGATTTATTTATATTTAAGCATTATTATTATTATTATTATTATTATTATTATTATTATAGAAAAGTAATTTTGTGAATGCTATATTCTGCCACCATAACTGTAAATGTGACAACTGTAATATAACAACGAATGACTAATTTTTTAAGTGTTAATAAAAATTAAGTAAAAAAAAAAAAACATATTTTGAAAGCAGTTGATTCACATTGTTCAAGACATCCAGAGTCTCAATACACATATCCATCAATGCCTCAATCAGCCAAGCTATTATAAAATATTTGCCATACTAACAGATAGTTACTGAGGATATTTCCTCTGTATTTATTTAAATGTAATTTTAGTCAGTTTTCCAGGTTCAAAAAAGTCATTTAATTTAGTTTCAAAAGTCTAGTTTTTATTTTAATTTTACTTAATTAAAACCTTTTTTTCTTTTTTTCCCTCTAGTTTTAGTTAACTCTAATAACTTTGATGTGCAGTGCAGTCTGTTACTACAAATAAATGATCTGAATGGTTTATCCTGCCATAAAGGTTTTGGTATTTGGACACTCCACTATCAATAATCGGTTTAGTTGTTTTTTGTTATAAGAGCAATAGAATAAATATGTCTCTATAGAATAGTGCAGCATTTAATACCACTCCATCTTTTCCGTAGTAGTTTGTGTTCAGCAGCTGCACAGCAGCAGCACTGAGTTTGCAAACATCCACTACGATGGACTGTACCCTGGACATATTCCCACCACCACCGTTCAGAAAGCTCTCTTGTCCATTGGGTCAGGTGTGGCGGCACTGCAGAACCCCTACAGACATGGTGAGACACTCACGTGAGCATTTCCGTGTGCACTGATTTTCT